AAACATTAAGGGCTAGAACTGCCCTTTCTGGCAAAACGCAGTTTTAGAGCTGTGCTTGGCATCTGCTCCCAATAAGGCATTTCACTTATTGGCCAATTTATTGTCTTTACGCCAAGAAGAACTTGGTAGCTTGGAACATGCATGAGAGCTATTAGTAGCCCTTCTCAGAGGAACATTTAGTTGGGGCTCCCAGTTAAAAAGAAGACCAGACCTGAGGCTATTCTGACTTCCAGGGGTGAGCTCATCTGCAGTGTGTGAGCGATCTGTGTTCGCAGGCAAGCTTTCGGATTTGGGCTCTGTTAGCACCAGCTTTCCACTGCAGAAAGGTGCAAAGAGCTGTAAATGCAGCAATCATTTTGGACCGATGTGCTGTTCTGTTTTCCTCAGGTTTTATGTGTGTTTTTAGTTAAACTTGATCTGCATTAGAATGATGCTTTTAAAACCAATTTCATTTCAGAAACTCCTTTATGGTAATAGCTGAACATAAATTGCTCTTGTGTTTTTACTCTTCAGCTGATGACTTTGAAATTTCAGAAACAGCTTTGCGTTTGGGCACGTAATATAATGAATGTAGTTAGCACAAAAAAGGGAAGCTCTTAGCTATTACAGAGGATTTGCCTTCCTCCAGGAGCCTTTCTGGCCTCATATCTAATGGAATACAAAAATAGTAGTTACAGCCAAGGCACCACCCGTATTCAGTTGGCAGGATCCTGGGCCTGCTGGGGTTTTACACTTTTGTGTGTATGTTTCTGTTTCGATTTCATCTCAGCATCTTCATGCACTTCCTGATTGATCAGTCTGTTACCTATTGGGTATTCTTATTCCAAATTAGGACAATATTTCCAAAGTATCTTCTTTTTATTCTGGGGTGATGTGTGAGCCAGTTGTCTTTAAAATAATTTCTAATTAGCTGTAGAATGTGTCAAACTAAATAGTGTTTATTTGGGCCTAATGTTGGAGTGTCTCCCTTGTCTCTTTTTAGGTTTTGTAAACTATGGCAACAGCTTGCCAGTGTCTGAACTCACCTCTTTCCTTGCTCGTGAATGGCTTTTACTGTATTAACAAAGTTAGCTGGGAAGATGTTAGTTGTTTTCTAATAAAAACTTTCGGAAATGCTTTGTTTAACTGCGTTAGGAAACGAAACAGCAAGTCACGTACATAAGGTAATTTCATACATAATGTTTTCAGATGCTGCTGCCACGTCATCTGTTTCTAATTCCAAGTGGCTTGCACATGAAGTTCCGCAACAGGCCTTCACCCGTTTCTTTTAATTTCAGTGTACAGGAGTAAGAGGCAAAGTGTTTTCCTCTTGATGTTTACACGTAAGCATGCAAGCAAAAGTGCATGTTGCAGAATTTGCTTCAAAAGCCAAATTTAGCTTTCCTTTGTATTTTATGCCAAGGAAGAGGACTATCCAGGAGCTATCCAGCTGTGCTTGGAATGCCAGAAAGCTGCCAGCACTTTCAAACACTACAGTTGTATCAGGTAACGTAACGTTGGTCGGGTTTCTGTACGATGCAGCTTCTGTATGATTTTATTTGTAAACAAACCAGTGACCATAAGTCTCATTCTCTAAAGCAGCTTTGATTGGAATTTAATTTTCTGCTTAGAAAAGTAAAATTGAGGCATTTATAAAAGGATAACCATCCTCAGTAATTTCCCCCTTTCCTGCACCACTAGTAACTGTTCTTGACAATCATAACACTATATAATTTATGTTTGAATTACATCATTGTTTTGTAATGGTTACAATATGCTGGCAGGTAAAATTTCAGCTAAGACTGAGCTGTAACTGTGAAATATAACTAGAAATGAAATAATACTACAACCTGCAGCCTGCAGATACCTGAGCTAATATTTCTAATACGCAAGTTTATATTCTGTAATTAATTTACCCGCAGCAAGATGGCTCGTGGAGGATAACTTGCCCTGCCTGATTCTTGGCAATGAAATTAGGATGTGCAGAGCTTCGTGCTGTCATGGGGCAATTGCTTTCAGAACCAGAACTAATTTGAATATCTGCAGTTCCTAGCTTAGCAAGACTTGATGTTTCGCTTGCCTTTTAGAAAGGAAAAAGCCAAAAGAATTAGACAGTAAGTTCAAAGTCATAATAGATAATGCAATAAAGGAGTAAAATGAAGCTACTTTTGATGTTTTGTTCATTAAGATCGTCATTAATTAGCTTAATTAGATTTTCTTTCTGTGTTATTTTACATTTGTTGGCAAAAATCTGACACTGATCTCCTTTCAGAATGTTCTCTGTCTGTAGAAGTGCCAAAATCGATGAAAATGTGTGCTTTGCCTCCCTCTGTCCTCTAAATGCATGCTTTGTTGAAACTTCAGAGTAATAACCTGTAATCCTCGATTTCGGTTTAGGATCTGCTTTTGGGGTATGGTTATTTCAGGATCTGAAGATGCACCAGAAAAAAAAGTGCATGAAGTTAGAAATTGTGCCTGGAAATAGCCCTCTCTCTATTCTCAAGTCAGATTTCAACGCTGCTTTTTGCTTTATTTTTAGTTTGTGCGTTGGGTCTGGCTGAGCTGGAGCTGGTTTTCCCCCGAGCAGCTCTCCGAGTGCTGTGTCCTGCCGTGGCAGCCGGAAGGCGGCTGGTGACAGCCGGGTGCTCTGGCTGCTGCTGAGCGGGGCTCACGGCTCCAGCGTCCCTCCCCACCGTAGGCTGGGGTGGGCAGGATCTGGAGAGGGGACGCACCCCCGCCAGGACAGCTGACCCAGCCTGACCAAAGAGATGGATCACAGAGTGATTTGAGGTGGAAGGGCCCTCTGAACACTGTTGCATTATGAACTCACGGTGCTGTGCCACTGCAACAGATACTTCGTTCTGAAGTGTTAGGAACCCTGCGGAGGCGTGCAGTAGGTGCCTTGCAGAGATAACGGTGGTGTGGTGATGCTAGTCCCACAGAGTGACAGGTGGCTGTGGTAGGGTTAATGACGTATCAGAAATTGCTCTAATATGGCTCGATAGCAAGCAAACTTGATTTTTGGAAGCAGTAAACTTGGTGTGAAATGTTAATATGATCAGCAGTTTTAGTTTAAACATTTTTTTCTTTCACTGACAGTGAGTTGAATTCGAAACTGCAAGACACATTGGAACAAATAGAGGTAAGAATTAATATATTGGAGACATTCAAAACCAGCCTGGATGAGTACCTGTGCGATCTGCTGTAGGTGATCCTGCTCTGGTGGGGGGGCTGGACTAGATGATCTTTTGAGGTCCCTTCCAACCCCTGACATTCTGTGCTTCTGTGATATTTCATATATGTTAGTATTTAACCTCTAGGTACTGGAGCTTTCTGACACAATATTAAGAAGTCCCAGCTCTCCCATACTGGGGTGCTAGACCTTCTCAAATAAGCATCACTTGGAATTTGACTTGATCAAAGTAGTGTACTTCTAACTGAGCTTGTTTGTGGAGATGGTGGAACTGTTTGGATGACAAAAATTTCAGACTGAAGTAATTTAGGTTGCAAGAAGTAACATCAGAGCACCTCAGAATAGTCTGGTAATGTACAGTCTCTGCTATAAGTGTCAGATTGTTTAAATAAACGTATTTTCCTCACTTGCTATTGTTTAAGTAAAGTATTACTTGGCCTTGTTTTATTTAGTGTTTAACATATTTTTTTTCTTCGTTTATATAGGAACAATTAGATGTAGCACTCTCCACTTATAAGCTGCTTGGAAAAACACAGGTTAGTACTCTTCTTCGAAGGCATGTAGAACAGTGGCGTAACAGCAGGAAGCCTTTGAGTACTGTGATGGAAAGCAGATTTTTTAATTGTTGTGGTTTAACCCCAGTCGGCAGCTCACCCCTACACAGCCACTTGTGCGCTCCCTCTGCGGTGGGATGGGGGAGAGAATCGGAGGAGAATCGTGGGTTGAGATAAAGAGAGTTTAACAGGTAAAGCAGAGCAAAGCAAACCAAGGAATTGGTTCAGCGCTCCCCATGGGCAGGCGGGTGTTCGGCATCTCCGGCAGAGCCGGGCTCCAGTCCGTGTGACAGTGACTTGGGCAGACGGACACCATCGCTCCTGACATCCCTCCCTTCCTGCTTCCCCCAGCTTTGTGCCCCGAGCGTGATGCCATATGGGCTGGGGTGTCCCCTGGGGCACTCGGGGTCACCTGTCCCGGCTGTGTCCCCTCCCAACTTCTTGTGCCCTTTACCGTGTGATTTTATGTTACTCTTTTTCTTTCAGACAGCAATGGACCAGTTACACATGCACTTCACTCAAGCCATTCACAACACCGTGTTTCAAGTAGTCCTTGGCTACGTGGAGCTGTGTGCAGGGAACTCAGACACCAAGTTTCAGAAATTACAGTACAAAGACCTCTGTACAGTATGTCTTTCTTCCATACGTGTTTGTTTTGAATCTGAATTTTTCCCCCGTTCTAAGTGCACATGATGTAAATAGGGACTCAGTTAATCATATAACCCTGCACTCGCAGGCTCAGAGATTGGCTGTTCCTGACTTAATGGTGATTTCGATTGTACTAAATACTAGAACTTTGGAATTAATGTATATGCCATCTGAATAAACATAAAGAAGTAAATCGTAGGATACAGACAGGACATTACTCCTGACTTTATAATAGATTTATTGCACTTTTAGAATCAAGATAAGGGACAGCTGTAATACTGAGATGCGAAAGTTTGATAAGAGGCAGATCCTGGACTGGGAATAACAGCGTGATTTCCTCTAGATGGGTTTTAGATGCAGTTTCTTGCGTGTATATGTTTTGCTTTTTTTTTTTAAATATTGTTAGAATGAATTACCGTGTTTGAGTAGAATTTTTCTTTCCCTCCATAATCCTTTCACTGTGCTTTTACTGTTACATGCTACAAAATTTTCTCAAACTTTGGTGGTAGGGAGGGACAGTGTGAGATATTTCAGGTGATTCTTAACACTGATCTAAAATTTGAAATTATGCTTCTATCTTGAATGTTCTTTAGGGTGTTTGTTTCAGTCACAGGCTATGCCCTCATCATAATTCATCAACTCAAGGACCTACCTCATCAATTTATTAAATCAAAGTACAGTCACAAGGAGATTAAAGTTCATATTCTGATCCATTTTCAACTCACATGTCCTGGGATCGTGTAGCTTCAGCTAGTAAATAACATATCCGTGTTGAAAACCGTTTCGTTTTGAACAGGTGCCCCTTTGACTTCAAAGGCTCACATAATCTAAGGCCCTTCAGAGGAGGAAGAATTAATTTATTGAGAGTAATTGACCTAAGTGTTAATGAGCAGGACAAGTAAGGTTCCAAATCGGTGGTATTTGCACTTCAGTGAGCTGAGTTCTAGCTGAAGCAAGCCAGCAAAGCCTGATCTCTCTTCTCGAGATTGCAGCCCTTCCATATTTCTGCTTTAAGTATTCAGAGGGTGGTTTTGTTTACATTTCTTAGTTTCTGATGCACTTTTTGTCTGAGCAAATAAGCTTTATGGGTTTAGGCAGCATTTGATTAGTTGAATCCAATCAGCCATTCTTCAGCTCTCAAATACTTTTGAAAAGGAAACTGATATCCAACAAGCACCTCAGCTGTGGATAGGAAGGGTTTTGTAAGGTTTGTAATGAACACACTTGTGAAGTGTCACAGTATTGTGTTGTTTTTCTGCAGCATATTACATCAGACAGCTACATCCCGTGCCTGGCTGATCTCTGCAAAGCCCTCTGGGAGGTCATGCTCAGCTACTACCGAACCATGCAGTGGCATGAGAGTCATGAGCAAGATGATGCAGCAGCTGTGTCTTCTGGTAAGAAACTGCTCTGGAAACAAAATCTCTGATGTTTGGAACTACGTTCTCTTGTGGTCAGATAATTAAGTTGTGTTGGTGCCTTTGTGGGCTTGACTCAGTGCCTTCAGCATTACTGCTTATAGGACTAAAATACTAACTGGATTTCCATAGCCTTCACTCTAAAGTTCTCTCTAATGAATATGTGTGTTACAAACAGTTTTATTTTAAGCAGCGCTTGCTGTTGAGTTGGAAGTTGACTGTGATAGATGACCACAAAATCTGAGGATTTTTCCCTTTGATATAGGACCAGTGAAATTTCAGATATTTGGTTTTTTGATCAATGTTTTCACGGCATATTAACCTTAGTAACTTGAGGTGCTGGACTGTGTGCTAGGAAAAGTGACTGTAATCTGTCGTCGTGATTTTGAGGAAATCCAGCTTCTTGAATGTTGTATATCATCTCTATTAGGGAATCCACCACAATATTTGGTCATGATTTCCTTGATGAGAGGCACCACATGAAGATTCTGAGGTTTTGAGTGAATTGCCCATTCTCAATGATAATTTTAAATAACTTCAGATAATTACATTAACTTCTTATTTTTCCCATGTTGCTATGAGCTCTGCATGTGTAAAATAAATGAGGTATCATAAAGTGTTTATTGCAGGGAATCATCATCACAGTAGACTACTTGCCCAGCTCCAGAAATAATAGTAAAAATAGTTCCTTTCAGTGTGGCTGCTCATGATATCCCGAAGAAGGAAAATCATTTGCATTGCAAAACCTTTTAAAGGAACCATTAAGCCTAATAATGTGGTATGTTCAGTCATATGAATAATTTAAATGCATGAGGTTTTAAATGCATGCCAGTGTGTTTGTATGTTTGCTACCAATCCACTAAATCTTCTGTCACTCTGTTTTTAATTTTCTGGAGACGTTGTGGTTTAGCTGTAACATACAACGGGAATACATTTGAACTACTGAATAATTTTTCAAATACTTCTGCAGCGATAAAGTACACAAAAGGGAATTTCACAAGTATAATTTAATTTCAGAGGGACTATAAATATCTATCAAATGTCTGTTTTTCTAAAAGTCACTGCTCATGCTGTAGTGGTTATTGAACCTGGACATGGAAGCCTCATCCTGTGTTTATTGACTTAATAACTGTGAGACGTGCTCGCGCCAAAGAGTGAAACTCCTGTAGGAAGGGCAGGTCTGTCAGGAGGAACCATGGGGGCAGTTTAGGAGATTGTGCTAAAATTGTTCCCCCGGCTGCAGGCTGGAGCAGCAGATGGATCGGTGCGCGGTGCGTGTCTGGCGCTGGTAACCCGGCTGTCCCGGTGCTTCTGTCTCCTTGTGCCGGTTACTGTCAGCAGTGCTGCACAGCACCTCCGGCACGTCCGGGCACACTTGGCCTTGGGGCACAAACCCAGCTGCAGAAGGGAGAAGCTGGACACAGAGATTTTTCTATTTTAATAGTGGGGCTTATCCAGAAGAAGTCCTGCGGGGGTTATGCAGCAGAGGTTGCACTTGCTGAAGGTCATACGCCGTGTATTTGTGGTTATTAATGCCTGTTACAGGTGTTCAGTGTGCTCTGCATCGCTTGGAAATAGTCGCCCTTCTGCATTTCTCAGGAATGGGGCGTGTCTGCGTTATGTCACTAAGTATTCTGCTTATTTGTGTTCTGAAAATTAGTCTAGTTTGAGACACTCTTTGAGATGGGGGCTTTTGTACTTTTTTTTCCCCCCCTGGAACTGAGTTCAGAATTTGCAGTTGTTGTTTCAGTTACAGTGTGAACTGGTCTTTTGGGTTACTTTTTAAATATCAATTAATCAAATTAATATCAATTTAATATCAATTAAAAATTAACCTCCTACTTTCTCAGAATAAAATAAATGGACACAGATAGTTATCTCTAGATATAAATGGGATTTATAAAATTTTAACACAAGACATATTTAATACCTTTCATAAAATAGGAAATACTAATGAGATACGGTTTGCTGAAGACTTACAAAAGAGTAGCAGTAAATCGTAGTGAAATGTACGTGTTGAGAGTTCTGTGGAGCAGCAATAATAACACTTAATGCTCTAACATCCTGTTGGAAAGATAGAATTAACTGTTCGTGTGTAGAGACTGAAGCTATGAAGATAAAATCAGTGAACTACAAGTAGCAAGTCCCTGGCATGAAATGAGGTCTGTGTCCCATCTAACAAATTGCTGCCTACAGTGTGCTTTTTTTGTTTGTAAAGTAAGCAGCAAATTGCTGGGATGTGGGTTTTCATCCCTGAAAATAAACTGCTTTCTGGAACCTCTTCCATTGCTTTGTTAGTCGTGGTCAAAGTATTGTCTGTGTTTGTAGGACAGAATCAAAGAAAAAAGTAGTTTTAAAGGGACCTGTGTCTGTCATTTGGTCTTCCTGGCTCAAAGCAACGTGAACTTCAAAGTCATATTGGCTTGTGCAAGGCCCTGTCTGGTTCAGCTGCATGTTCACATACCATAACGTTTACTGTTGATTTAATCCATGTGTATTCCTGAGACACTAATTTAACAGAACTGGAACTGAGTGGTGAAATAAGCACTCTAGCATTTGAGCTCCCAATTTAACAAGCGTAATCCTAGTGATAATAGTTAGTAACAACCGTACTAGCTGTAACAGGTTGAACGCAAAGCAAGAAGAAGTGATGCAAGATACAAATTAAATTTCAACCATTTTAATTTTCGGAACATTCCATTTATAATACTGTGTAACTTCTGTGCAAGACCTGCTTAATATTCAAAGGATGAAGCCAGAGGACAGTGACTTGACAGATTTCTTCTTTTTTTTTTCCTCTCTGCCTAGCGAGAATTGAACAAAAGCCTTTTCTTGTGACTGAAGGCTGCCTTTACAGATTTTGGAGGAATACTGAGAAACCTGCATAATGACTGTATTTAAATCAGGCATCTGAAAGAAATAACTCCTGCATGCCTTTGATTCTTACTTTTAAGTGAAATTATGAATATTTATGTATTCTGCTACCTGTTCCAAATATTTCAAAGCAAGAAGGGTAAATGCTTGTGGGCATTAGTCCAAGCCTTGATTTTCAAGGGAATTTTCCTCAATGCCTATGTTTGCATGTGTGAAATGAGCTGCTGCACAGTTCATTCAAAGGCTGGAAGCCCGATCTCTTAGCGTGACTCTGTAACCCAGGAGCACCAGAGGATTGCCAGAGAACATTGCCGGGATTTTTACGGACCAGACGCAGCCACGTGTCTGTCTGACCAGTCATGTCCAGGCTCCAGGCGCGGTTGGTGAGGACAAAGGCCAGGGTCTTAATCCTGAGAAGAGGCCAAATAGACGGACTTGTGTAGGCTGTGCTTTGGGCTGCAGAGCTAGAGAAGAGCAGTCGCAGAGAATTCTAAAGAGCATGTTGTGACTAAGATGGCTGGGTTTGTTTGCTCATACAGTCAGAGAAAGGATAAATCCACCGAGAGATTCCGTCCTGCTTTATTTTTTCTGTTTAGATTTTGCTTAATCTTCCATGATAAATCACTTTTGAAAAGGCGTTTGTCAAAATTACTGCTTTGAGTAGAAGGGGAGTGTATTTAGAGACATTTACTAAATTGTAATTTTCATATAGAGTGACTAATATTTGTTTTATGATTTTTTTCGTAAGAAAAGGGTTTTTTGAGTGCCCTGCAACAGTGGGATATAGTATGACTTTCATGAGTCTTGTTTGCACGTCCAGCAGCCTTTTATCTTCTCATTTTGAGTAATTAGGTAAAATTCACAGTCAAGCTGCAAAAGCAGTCTCAATGACCTTAAGCAGGAAGGGGGTGCATGCAGCTTTGCAGCCTTGGAAGAAATGAATATCCACCCCTAATATAGGCTTAAATTCCAGGGTGTACTTTACTGTGTTTTCAGTTGTGAAAAAACTCTGAAAAAATTTAAAGCATTAAACAGACTGTTGCTGGGGAGAAGGAAAATGCTGAATCTCATGCTCTTCTACTGAAAAGGAGTCTGCTCTAGGATTGGGAGTGTGAGTATCAGATGATCTGAAGAAAATAGGTCTGGAAAGGCTGGTTTAAAGTCTTGTATTTGGCCTCCTGTTCTTTACTGGATCATGAGTAAGGGGCTCACAGTATTTACGTGACGCACATCTAGACTGCATGGTCTGGATTCAGGGCAAGGCTTGATGTGGAAAGAGCACTTCTGTTGTTGACAAAAAAATAGATTTCTCAGCATTGGCACATGTAGGTTCTTTATGGTTCTTCAGTAGACAGCAAAATTAAACATGAAAAATTGCTACTCTCTCCAAGTAAAACTAAGCCAGGAGGCTTTCTGGAAAAAACGGTGAAGCCCAGTGGTGAAGAACTGCAAATGCTGGTCAGGATTAACTCTCCTTGCAGTCCTGGTGGCATGTTGCCATCGAACAAAACACTCTGTGACAGGGATTCGGTATGCAGGGGGCGGTTTTGGCCTTCCTAGTTTTGAATGACCGTGGAAAATCCCGTCCCTGCATTAATGAGATCAGTTTTGTATTTTAAATATCAATATCTGTTACTCTCCTTTTTTTTATTAGTTTATTTGTATCGAATGGGGTATCTTGCTTACCTAATGGCAATCAGGAGCTCTCCTGGTCTGCATTAGCACATAATATTTATGTGTTTTATTCATTTTCCTTTCAAAGTTTAAAGCAATAGAGCTCTCCTGGAATTCATATAATGGCTAATATGATAATGAAACCTCTGCCTTAGCCATTACGGATAGAAGTCTAGGACACATTTCAAGGCTTTTGGAAATATCTGAAGTACCTTTCACCTTCAGTTTCAGATGGCAACAATGTGGTGGGAACTGAAGAGAACAGTTTTGACCGCAGTTATGTCAAAAAGAAATTGGAACACGGGCTTTCACGAATATGGCAGGTATGCTTTTTGATATTTATTTTCTAAATATTTATCTCCCCCTGGCCAGTATTAATTACAGTTATATTTATACTGATCTTATTAAAAAATAAAAACAACAAATCCCTAGAGATACTACTTTAAGTGATTTGTTTTGAGCTAAATCTATCAAACCCAAGGAAATACAATTTCTGTGAGTCAGTTACTACTGGGTCGATATGCTTACAAACTCAGTCGAGATACCAAAACATCATAATGCGACTTTCTGGCGGATTCCGCTTCTCCCGAACAGCGTGCTGCCCCACAAGCCGTTTCCTCTCCCCTGCCTTTCTGCCAGCACAGGCACCTGCTCTGTGCTGCTGGGGTAGCCAGAGCTCCAGAGAACCTGAGAGCCTGTGCCCCTGCCTTGTTTCGGGGGATCCTGGGTCTGATTGCTGGGTCAGTTTGATGCACAGTGAGACCCCCAATGTAGGATGAAACAGCTGTAAACCTTTCACAGGACTGAATTACTCTGCAAATTACTCTGAATTACTCTGTTTTTACAGGGACAGTAAAGCATCTGTGATTTGTGTTCTAGAGTGTTTAAGTAACTGATTATAATATTATTTTAGAAACTCAGTGAGAAGTCATTCATGTTGCAGAAAATGGAGTTCTATTCTAAATCTCAGACAGAAGTTAGAAGTGCAAACAAACTAAAATGTGCTGATGAACCAGGCATCTGAGCCTTCACCTTTTTGTCTTTAGCGCATTAAGTATACAAAATCTTGTGTATGTTTTGTAGGATGTTCAACTGAAAGTGAAAACGTATCTCCTGGGGACAGATCTTTCTAGCTTCAAATACGATGACTTCATATTTGTTCTCGATGTTATCAGCAGGTATAGTGACGTGGTCGTAACACCACTTAGTACGGGTGCACAGACTTGGGCTCTGGTAAGGGAGCCCTGTTAGTTACAGCTGCTCTTTACGTTCTGATGCCACCTTTGTTCCTCTCTGCTGGCAGCTTGAAGAGCGCTTCTTTAGGTGGGAAGTCGGAGTGAGTGGCAGTACTGTCTGCCCTGAGGATGTGCTTGGGAGAGCCAGCAGAAATTGCTTTGCTCCTCAGGTAGTGCCTAAGTGCAGTGTGATTTCAGTATTGTCCACCTTTAAGATTTCAGATGAGCAGATCTGAGAATTCTGGTGTTTCTAAAAGCTTTGAAGGGGGCTCTCAGCCAGGAGCAGTAAAATATTGCAGTGCTGCTAACCTGTACTGTATTCTGCCCTTCTGGTTCGATAGTAAAATGATGGGTTTGGATTGTGAGCTGTACAGCTTGCCCTCTCAAGAAGACATTTATTATTTTGCTTGTGGCTCTTTGTATGGGCCATTGTGACAGGATTTGGAGGGAAATGACACACAGACTGTTGTGGAATGAGTGAAGCGTTTGCAATTCATCTTTGGTGCTGGGCTTTTATGGAGAGAGACGTGTGCTCGTGGTAATGCTTGAGGCTTGTAATTCAGATTGGAACAGCGATGTTAAATCAGTAAATACTTGTAAATTTTGTTTTATTGTTATAGGCTGATGCAAGTTGGAGAAGAATTTTGTGGCAGTAAGTCTGAAGTTTTGCAAGAATCCATCAGAAAACAAAGTGTTAACTATTTCAAAACGTATCACAGGTGGGACTACCTATGTTTAGTGAGTGAATCTAATGGCATTTATTTTTGCTGGGTATAACTTCAAATGCTTTCCAGAGGAATTCAGCTGCATGATGTTCCTGCACTGAGGCTGACAGATAGTTGGGTGTGTTTCATGATGAGAATAGGGCTCGTTAACCCTGGGAAGAAGGGGAGAGAGTGGAGAAGCCTTTGCTTTGCTGTACTTGTGGAAAACTGTAGTTCTGCAGCAGGTGAGCCAGACAAAGACCAAAAACTTCTGTAGAATTTCAGTAGTTTTTTAGGCTGCCTCTTAAGCTGTCTGCTGGATCTAAGGATGAAATCCATACTTCCTAGCAAAATTGTTACTATGTGTTGATATAATTCAAATTATATGAACCTTTTAATATTTTTTAGATCCCTCAGATTTATATAAAGGCTTTGAACATCTTGCCTATTCAAATCAAGCTAACTTGCCTTTCAGTCCCCTTGTGTATTTAATTGGAGAGGGGAAAAAAAGGAAAAGCTAGTGCTTTTAAGGATTCATTAGTACATAAAAGCTACATAGAGCTGAAATGCTCAGAGTCCAGGGATAATCGGTTCTTTGTGTAATTTGTGGGCAGTGCGGTGTTGGAGAGAACTGCCGACACAGAGAAAGCAATCAAAGGGACTGGCCATGCCATTCAAAAAGTATAAAAGAGCAGTGGAATATGAAGCCTCTTTTGGGTAAAAGTTGGTTATTTTGAAAAATTAGAATGAACTTTTGGCAGGAAGGTGATTTACATTTTGTTCTGATGTGTTTGTAAAAATGTATGTCTGATCACCCAAGCTTTTCAGAGAACAAATGCATCAGCCCTACTGTGGGTGCCACTTGCTAGACTTGTGCGCTGGTGAGAATCAAGAGCGTTTGTTCACGTACTTCCAGTACCTTGACTTCACCTTTAAGTGATGCAAAACCTGGCGTTTGAGTGTTTGCTTTGCTGTGACTCCGTGTCCTTAGGCATCTTCTCAGAGTTTAATCTGTGGCGTTGATTTTCACGGCAGCTCTGTTGTTGCTGTCGGCTTTGCTGCGAGATCTGCAAGTTACGGGTACTCCATGCCTCGAAAAGAGCCTTTGAAGTCTCTTTGTGTTTAACTGGGGAATTTAAATAGACCCTGCAAACTCGAGTCATAATTCAACACATTGCTCATCTCGTTGAGCCAGGAAAATTTTAACTGTACTGGTGATTATATTTTATTATTGAAATAGTGTATTTCTAGAACGTTTCACGGCCTAATTAGAAACCAAGTGCATAATTTACCAACTGCTACCTGTTAAGCAAAACGTTATACCGTATATAAAGAATAGGTACAGTAATATGACATCAATAAGCACTCATTGCTGTCTACTCCTATATGAGTTCCTGCTTGTATGTAAATTTATTTTCTTTTTAATTGAAGGTATTTCTGCTTATGGCAGAAATAACAGAAATAACAGAAACAATACAGAGATGTGATGGCTTAATTATGTTTCCTTAATAGGTTTTCTGTATTAGTACCAAGGTAAAGTCAGGCTATGGAAAAAACATAGCTTAGGCGCTTAAAAGCCGTTTAACTTCTTTGAAAAGCTGAAATGTCTGTAGAGCATTAGTTCTTTCCATTTTCTTTTGCTACCTCTTGGCTTCTGTGTGTTTGAAAGAATCTTCTCGTCTTGTGTGGGCTCACAGGAGCTGTGGCACTGATAGACTGCTTGTACAATATTGCTTTCTGCAGTTTACATGGAGGAAAAAAGGTCCAGTGTTGCTGCATAATCATAGATGTTCCTCTATATTTTCTAATGATTTTGACCAAAAGAAAAAAAAAAGGTTTCCAAAATGTGGAGGTTGATATTCTTTGAGAATTTCTCCACTGGGGTCATAAAACATACGCTATGCTAGTGGCCACAGTTTTTAGGTGATCTGTGAGTTGAAAGGGTGAGTTAAATATCTTTTTTCAAGTGTGACTTTTTGTACAGGTTTTGAAGATGTTTTTCAATGCATAAGTTAAATAATTTTCTACTTCCTGATTTACTTTTGCTGCCAAATAAGAGTATCAATTTCTTTTATTTCAGAACCCGTCTTGAAGAATTGAGAATGTTTTTGGAGAATGAGACCTGGGAACTTTGTCCTGTTAAATCAAGCTTTAGTATTCTACAGCTTCATGTGCGTTCCGTGAATGACTCATGCAAATGTATCACTACTCCAGTAACTAAGTGTTCAGCTCTTCTGGGAAGTACTAAGATCCCTTAACTACTGTGCAGATGTTTTAGCGGCTGCTAAACCCCCCTCAGTTTCACTTGGTGATATTGGAAACATAAGATTCAAAGGGTTTTTAACCAGTAGCGTTCCTGTTTCAGGCAGATAGGGGTTTACAGAAGACGCTGGTGTTGTAAACATGATGTCAGCCTTTATTTTTCATGTCTTGGTGTGCTATCAGTTTTCCGTTTCTAAATTATTTATCTGAGAGTAAGATGCTAAAATATGAGTCCCTGAAAGTTGCCACATGAGCACTTACTAGTTTGTACCAATCCTGGCATCATTTTCTGGAAACAGGTCACTCTGGCTCATTTGGAAAGTTAAAAAAAAAAAAAAAAAGTTAATTCTTCTGTGGTGATGTCCAGCTGAAAGCAAGTACTTGGTGCGCTCACCGGCTGTTCAAAAGTGATTTTTGTGAAGTTTAGTATGTGGTAGGTGAATTTTGCCTGTGTTGCTAAATGAAACACGGCTGCCTGTGATTAAAGCTGTCACTAAAGTGCAAAAATGGATAAAGCTGAACTATCTCAAGTAAAAGATAGTTTTGCAGCGTCCACAGAGTTAACTGTAAAAGTAAGCAAGAAGCTCCTGGGGCAGTAATAAGACTGAGAGAAAAAGGACTCTCAGTAGCATCCAGTAGCAAAATATGTTTTATAGAGAGCTGGGATTATAAATCCATAAGTACTACTCAAAGGATTGGGAAGTAGCAACAATTCATTTAAACAAACAGAAATCTAACACTGCAGTCTTTTTAGCCACACAGGTTTCGACGGTTAAACCTTTAGATAAATGACAATGTAAGTTTTGCCATTTATGAAGATCATCAGCTAAAGGTGAATAGATAAAAATGATAGTCAACTCAGATGAGTCAGGGGTTTTAGGAAAAAAAGTCTAAAACCGTACCTTATGTGCCCCACTCAGTCCACATATATGCAAAAGTCTCTGCACTCGGTCATCAGAAAGTTTGTGTGCAGTGTAATGCTTCCAAAAATAATGAATTTTGAAAAGAACTTTGTAGAAATAAAATATTAAGAAAAATATTATCAGCTTCAGTAAATTACGAGGTAACTTGTGTGAGGGAAGCTACATTTTGGATGGAATTTAGGTCTTATCTCCTGATTTCTGTGAATTAAAAAAAGTTTAGTTTTTACCTAAAAATAGAAAGATGAGCTGTGGAAGATGGCCAGTTTTAGGGTTAACTTGAGACAGCATGAAAAGCATGTTTAAATAAGCAGCAAGCTTGGCTAGAAGTTTTCATATCAGGCTAATTGTCCACGAGTTTGTTGTTATACTCTGTTTTATGGAACTGGAGTCATAATAATAGCGAAACTCTTGTCGATGTGTTTTATTGTGCTTTTTTTCTGTGAATAGGAATTCAAGTTCATGGAGCAGTCACGTTCCCCGTCTGTGTCACCCAGTAAGCAGCCTGCTTCGGCGATTTCAGCGACGGTGACGCTGTTTGAGCAGTACTGTACCGGGGGGAACCCCTTTGAAATTCAGGCTGACAGCAAAGACGACGAGACAGAAGACGTGCTGGCTTCCAACGGGGTACGGCAAATCTCGCTCCATCAGAACGTTTCCTCTGGGTCTGTTACTACGTTCTGCTTTCCTTCTGAGCCGGTTTTGCTTTGAGCTTGTGCTGTGGGCTTCTCACTTGGACAGTGTCCTTTCCTAGTGCTAGGCTCTAAAAGCCTCCGTGGCTCGGGGCTTGGGCCAGAAGTGGCAATACCTGACTGGAAAAATACATTTCCTAGTTTGGTTTGGGTGACTGAGAGATCCGCGTTACCTGAGTGCATCTTCCGTGGATTTCCCCTCTGGAAAGTGGGAATTGTTAAGGCCCCCGCACGGCACTTGGGTCATTCTTGACTCCTTGGATGAGGTGGGCTCAGAGCAGTGTGCTCGGTAAGGAGAGGTGTTGTGGGCTCTCTTCAGGTGCATTCTGGAGCCTGCTGGGTGTGCTGCCTGGTGTGACACCTGTGTGCGTGGTCAGGAAAGAGCCACCTCACGAGCATCGAGTGTTTGTTTGCTTTTAACTTTGCTGGTTAAGAAACTGGCTTTGTGGAGAAACTTACTTTGCAGTTTATCTGACACACTTGTACTGCAGAGCAACCTAGAACACCTGGAAAAAGATACTGACATTAAACGTTGCTTTTAATTGGGGTGAAAAAAGATTGCAACTTTCATGTTTTTTTAAAAAAAAAATCCAAATGTTTAATATGTGGCTTCATAATTGTAAAAAGCATTTATTATCTGTCTTTGTGAATAATATTTTTACACATACTCTAGCAATAACAATATACATCTGCCATGGAAATCCTGTTTTGTATCGTATATGTTGTAGCCTGTGTTGCTTGCTTTTGTCCAGACATCACTTGTTAGGCTCAAACCCTCAATCCTTGAAAACAATTCTCTTGCAAATCTTTAAAATGCGATTCAGCAATTGAACAGCCTGAAACAGTTTCAGAAAATTAAAACTGCAGCTGTGTGTTTGGGGGCAGTAGTTGTCTATAAGGGTTTAAGCTTCTTATTTTTCAAAAGATGCAATTAGCATAAAGTGTTCTTCAGTGTCAGGCGGCACATCTCAAGGCAGGTAGACATGGTTCAGTTATCTGTGCATTCACATTTTGTCACAGGTTTATTCAGAATAATTTGTGGCATTTGTTACAAATTAAGCAAATGATACACAAGACTTTCTTCCATCAAGGAGGAGTTGTTTCACTGGTATTAGATAAATATTTCAAATATCAGGGTCTTCTGCCTTTACCTAGACAAAGGATGGTGTAAGTTTCGAAACAAAACCAAGCGTCCAAAAAGAAATACAAGCATGCCCCAGGCACCTCATCAAGTCTTCTGAGAAAGCAAGGGGTAAGACAAGAAGAAAATACTTTTAATCTCGGCCTTGCTAATTTGTTGCCCTGGTACAGTGGAATACTTGGCTGCTTTCAGCCAGCAAAGTTATCTCTATCCTGAGCGAGGTAAAAGCGAAGAACTGACCAAGATGCTACACTAAGTGAGTATGGTAAGGAAAATGATGGCAGTAAATGTATCAATTTATTATTTTCTTTTTAACAGTATGAATCAGACGAACAAGAAAAAAGTGCATATCAAGAGTATGACAGCGACAGTGATGTTCCTGAAGAGCTGAAAAGAGATTATGTGGATGAGCAGACAGGAGATGCCCCTGTGAAAAGGTAAGTCGGCTGTGTGAGTCCTTGGTCTCCTTTCCATGCTTTTTGTCTCAGTGCTCTGTGTTTGATCTGTGCTCTGTGACAATGGAATAATAATCAAATAATCTTTCTGCTACCTGCACAGATAGAAGGGCTCAGGACTTAGATCTCTGAAGTGACGTTAACCTGCGCGTCGTTATTGCAGAAAGGAAAAAGCGAGGTTTTGAGGGAGGATAAAGGCAGTCTGAAGCAGGGAGTGCAAACCTGCTCAGCAAACTTCAGGTGTTAACTGAAGGTCCTTCTACAGCTGCTGCTGTGCTGATGTATAATTCCGGTTGTGTCCAAAGCAGTTGTTTGCAGACAAATGGCCTGAGGTTTGGCTTTCTGCTTTTGCAGAACAGCAGTAAACTTCTGCAGATTGAAAATAAATTCTTCTGTAGGGTGAAGGCAATCACATGTAATTTTAAATTCTTTTCTTAAGAATATATATACATACCCCCATATATATGTGCACACACGTGAATATGCATATTTGATTCTGATGAATACATATAAAAATAGAAGATATGTATTCACATAACCAAGAGCTAACTCTGCAGCCTTTCAAGGGATCTGAAGTGCAGATTGCTGTCTTGACCTTGTACTACTGAACTGTCCGTTCAGGCTTTGCGAAGCAGCTGACATGGTGTGTGTACAGAGGATTGCAGGAGAGCTGGAAGGCCGTCACTTGGGTCAGAGCCGAGGAACGGATTTTTTGAAAAATAACTTTGTAGGATGAAATATTTTTAGCATGATTTCATAAGACATATCACATAAACTACTTCATTTCATGGAAGAGATGGAGTTAGTTATAAAAATTACTTAATTGGAGAAACCGAGTTTTGTGCTTTGAAATGGAAACATTCTGAACTTCTGGAAGAGTCTCATTCTGAGGTGAGGCAGCTGGCATACAGCATCCATGGAGATCGAGTCCAACTCGCCGCTTCTCACAGGACTACAGTTTGGGAAAAATTTAATGTGTTTTAGCTTCATCTTCCTCAGAATTGTTTCCCTTTCCAGAGAGTTGTTTTCAGCTGAAGTTGACTCGTGTGCCCCTGTTAGGCTGTGACCTGCGTGGCTCTCAGTGTCTTGGACTGGAGTCCGTGGTCTCTGGAGTAGAGTGGTTGAAAGGGTTGCTGAGGCCAGACAGGGCCCTGCAGAGCTCGAGCCTCGGGCTGCAGCTCAGGAACTCCTTTCTCTGGCACGTTTTTATGTCAATTAGTCCAGGCTTCTCTTCTTAATTGGTGAAATCGTAACCCATTTACACTTTGCCGTAAATAAAATACCATGCTGGAAGACATACTGTCTTGTGGAAGAAGGGGGAAGACATGTTGTTGTTATTTTTTTTCTCCTAAATCTTATCTGTATGCCCTTCAATACAGTGCGCAGCCACAGCTGGTGTTTTTTCGTTTTCTTTAAAGTGTTTCTCGAGAAACTTTGAAGAGCAGAAAGAGGTCAGATTATAACCTCTACAAAGTGAATGCACCTATCCTAACAAACACTACGCTGAATGTAATAAGGCTCGTTGGTATGTACAAAACCTGCAGTTTTTTATGTGTGTTTCTTATTTTAATGCAAACCTGTGGACTATAGCAAATACGTTAAATGCGTTTTAAGGCTTTTAAAAAATATATGTAGTTGGGCTGTATTTCCCATGTTAATAAAAAAAGAAGTGAGACCAAAATAATTTTTAATTAAAATAGGTGAATTTGGTTCTATCTTGCAAGTTATTTTTACTTTGAAATTAATCTACATGCATATATTGATTTTAACCAGTAACGGTGAAATATTCATCTAAAATACTGAATACATAAAAGCAGTGGAGATGGAAAAGAAATAGATTAATGCTTTATGTTGCTAATGTGTCTTGGTGGATTAAATGTTTCACTGAAAAGTAGTATAGTTACAAAAGTAAGACCTTAAAGATTAGGCAGCATATAAATCAGAAATTAATTTTCTAAACCATTTTTGCTGGTTTTTTTTTTACCTCTTGGAACATCTACAATATAGACCTGAAATAAGAATTGAGATTATTATGTCTGGTATTGATCTGTGAGTTAGGTTGGAGATATTTGTCTGCTGCTTTTTGGTATAAAGTTTTCCTCTAAGAAAATTTAGGATTAAATGTAGAAATCACACGTGGAACCTTCATGCAAACCACTTGGTCTTCCTCTGCCCTTGCCCCCTTCCCTGACGGCGTGTGCAAGTAGGTGGAGCTGCAGTTCTAGTTTTTCGGTTTTATGTACGGAGTCTGTACGTGGGGGTTCTGGCCATAACCCCATCGCATGTTGACTTAAAACGCAAAGGAGGAATGACCCTGTGTTAAACTGGCCTGGGATGTTTTGACCTGGGTCCTGTGCATCAACAGGAGTAACGAATAACTGCACCAGTGTATATAGTGATTGGGTGATTTCTTGTTTTAATTAATATCTTTCTGACTTACAGAGTAGTTTAATGCATATTTCTTAAGTTGAGGTTTTTTAATGCCTTTTTTTAGCCTCATTTTTGCTTTTGTTGCAAATGATTTTTTGGGAAAGAAACTTAGATTTTGCTTGCTTTGAAACTTACTTTAAAGAAAAATATTATGTTGATGACAAATACCAAAGCAGAAATCTTGTTGCTGCAGTGAGTGATTGGTGACGTAGCACAGAACCTCATGGAGCTTAAAACCCCCTAAATCATACAGTCTTTTGAAATAGTCTAATTACAATGGGCTTTTAACTTTTTCCTTCCAAGTGGGATTTTAGCTCCTAATTTATGTCATAAGAAGCTGTATGTTTGGAATTGAGACTCCCTAGGGAATTATTTTGCTATTGACCATAGATTTCAGGAGGCTGTGTATTTATTTACCTTTTTTGGTTTTAGTGATCAGTTTTGTGTAGATTAGTGTGGTAGAGAGTTCTCTCTATTACTGTCTTTAGGGACACAAGTAGTGCTGGAAATAATACTTCAAAAAACCCCGAACAACTGTTTTTTTTTTTAACTATTAATGAAGACTAGAAGTCTAGAGCATCCAGCTGCTTTGAGTTGCTGGAACTCCTAAGTGGTATTTTCAGGTGTTTCTGGAAGTTCTGGCATGGTGTGCATTTGGGCTGGTAGCGCTGTTTGGAACATTCTCATCCACCCCTTTTTCACCCAGAATAGGAGCTTTACTGCAAGTAGGTAACAAGGTACAGAAGTTAAAACTTGGCCCCCTGCTAGAGAGAGCAGCTAGGAGGAAACGTTCTTGGAACACTTGTTGTGTCAAGACGCTGAGTGATGTAGTGGTAGAGAAATGTTCTTGGCATCAGCAGGGTGTCCCAGGGACACTCCTTGGGCAGGGTGGGGTGTTCAGCCCCTTGGGGAAGCGGGGGGTGCTGCCCCAGGGCTGCCTTGTGTCTCCCTGCCAGCTGCACGGAGCTTGGAAACCCGGCTGGCTCGGGCGTGACACAGCGCCCTGCTGTCGTCTGCGGCTCGCGGGCGAGTTGAAAAGTGCTGCTCAGAGGAAGTGGGGGAAACATCAGTGGCAATACAGCATGTGCAGATAGTGCATCCAAAGGGGACAGCTGCTTTGACGAGGGTATCATCCTTTCCCAAACATCTGAAAATTTCCCCATCGGGCTCCACTGGAACTGGCTGCATTTGGTTTTTCCTTCTGGAAGACAAATAGAATTTTTCAAGTCTGCTTTTCAGTTTCCTCATAGTGCTGTGGGTCAAAACATTAGCAGTCAAGCGTGGAATTAACAGTTGGGCTAAACTGCTAAGTGTTAAGTATTGCAGCCTGTGTCAGACCTCCAAAAGTAACAACTACATGCTCGGGCGTGTGAGCAAACTGGGGCACACGAGCTTAGTTCTCCAGCTGAGACTCCTGGTTGATAGAACAGGCAAGCAGCGGTGTCAGGTCAGTGCTTGATTCCTAGCGTGTCATTCTGTAGCATGTGTCATGGAGCTGTGTCATGGTTTTGTCAAATTCATGTTATCTTTACTGACCTACACAAGCAATAGCCTAAACAAAAATAACTCCGGTAACTTAACTCCCACCGACACTAAAAGCCAGTTTTGTTTCTTTGTTAGTTTCTCTGCTTCAAACAACATGTGCTGGATGGATTAGTAAATTGCTTTTCTGGGGACAGCATTAACTTGAAAAACAGTTTTGTTGACTACAGGAAAAAGAAATTATTTTAGCATTCTCATGTTTTTTCCAGCCTGTCACAGCAAAACGTGTCTGGAATATGACAGCTCGTTAAATGAGCTGCTATATCCTACACGCTGGGTGGACGCAGTTGTGTTTTGGTTCATAAATTGCTGTCTGTTACTGTAATAACCCAAAGCTTATTATATATTCTTTGTTTTTAAGATGCTAATAGAGCAAGCAGTATGTCATTTTTTTTGCGAGCCAGCAGGAACTGGAGGGGCTCTGCGGTATCAGGGTTTTCATTAAGTACGTGCCTTGTATGACCCTGGGAAGAGAGCCCTGCCCTGTGCTGGGAACCACAATAACTACAAACGATAGGTCCTGTCAACTAGACCTGCAGGGAGAAAATTCTTTCCGAGTCCAAATCCTATTATCATGTTGACTCAGCTAGCATGTTGATAAATGGCCTGCGTTAATTCAGTTTTTTTATTTCGTTTTTATTTTTGCAAGTCAAATGAACGACAGCAGAGAGCAGGATGGAGGAGAAGGAATTCTTCTCCCTGGACGTGCCAGCGTCCTGGCATCTTCCTTTTCTGACAGTCTGTCCCCCTAGAAACATTTTAAACATGCATCTCCAAAATTATTTGAGTTTCTTACCCTAGGGTAGAAAGAAAGGAGAGCAGGAAATGCTGTGTCGCCGACGTGAAATGCGTTATTCCTGGGGTGGTTGGGTGAAATCCGGTCATGTGCATGTAATTTTCATTCTGTGCTTCCCTATGGCTTGGAAAATGTCTATGTGTGTCTGTATGTATAAACACACACTAATGTCAGAAATCCACATATAATTTGCAGGAGACCACTTTAGGAAATTATTTTTTTTTTTAGCTAAAAAACAAGCTGAAAGTTGCAGAGGACCCAGTAAATTGTGTATTTTGCATTTGGTACCAGAAGGCCAAGAGTGGTTCGAGACATTTTAATATGGATTGACATTCCTATCCGAAGAAATCTTGAGGCATTTGTGGTATCATAGTCATCATATTTATCTTTGTTTCTAAACCTTCCAATTTCTAAAATATTACGAAGTTGTTCTTAATCAATATTCAAGGCTAAACAATAAACTTTTTAAAGCTGATTTTGAGTCTGTCAGACTCAGCACTGTCTTTGTAGCACTTGTGCTGAGGAAACTAATCTTCTGTATTTAATTTTTAAGGGAAATACATGCAGATGATGAATATTCTGAAACCGATTGCATTTGATGTGATCCACTTCATGTCCCAGCTCTTCGATTACTATCTGTATGCAGTCTATACGTTTTTTGGCCGAAATGACACGGTAGGTAGAAACGTTATTCATTTCCAAGTATCACCATACACACAGAATGAGAATACAGGGGAGATCTCTTTATCTAAAATACTACCCAATATGTAATCCCCAGGAAAATGGTGGATGTGAATGCAGGAATAAGAAAAGGCTGATTACATCCGCAATAAGGGGAATAAGTCCAGGGAGCATCTTTATCACTGGGGCATGAATTGTATGACGTTATGAGTAGATTCTGTCTGTACTCCTTTCCAATAGGATTTTGAAAGGGAGGAAAGACAACGTGGAACAGCTGTAAGTAGCTGCAGAAAGTGGGGAGTAAAGGAGCACTCTGCAGAAGGAGGGTGGTGCTTTGGAGCCAAGAGAGTGGGATTTTTCCTCTGCATACTTCTCTAACTTAAATAAGACTAGCAAAAGGGGGAGGAGAAGGGAGCTGGGAAAGTTAACACCTAATACAAGTTTAAGAGGTTTGAAATAGGCTTTTTCAGATCTACTGCTCCTCTGTCAGAGTAAGTGCGTTAGTGAAAACCAGGAGGTTTTGAGTGATCCTGTAGCTGCAATAAATGCTTGTTGGCATTCTACATACATAACATAGATCAACTTTCGACAGAATTGTCTTAAAGTATGTATGAAAAGCTGTGCGTAAAAACAATTTTCTCCTCTCTTGGCCCCTAAATTGCTCCACAAGTAATAATATTGTGAGGTTCCAAATTCATCATCTGTTGGCAAATTGTAATGCTTTTTCAAACTCAACATATGGTTCTAAATGGTTTTGAGCTGTTATGTTTGGCAGGACAAATGTTTTGCAGTTTGTTTGTGTTTAGAACACGAGTGGGTTTGGGATGTTTTGGGTTTTTTTGGTCTTGTTAAGATAATTGATTTCCATTGGCTTAGTCAGCTGCTCTGCTTTTCACCTTGTGTCACATTCATTGTTATTCTTTTGCACCTCCCATGTTGTGTTTTTAAAGCCCATACTGAGTTCTTCACTTTCCACTTCTAACAGAGAACAACCCAGTGCTAGGCAGGTAAATGTTACAGCAGATGAGTGGTAAAATTGTGATGTTTTTGCCTTGAAAGATGATTTTTCTGTAGGAAACACAATGCTTACAAAGGGTCTGCGAATGCAGTAAACCCTCTTGTAATGCTGCCTGAATGTCCTCACCTCCCCACAGTCTGTAAGCCTTTAGGATTTAAATACGGGTGATGGTATGTGATTTAGGCCACCAAGAGTGTTCCTGTTCGATGTTACGAAATAGCATCGAATGGGATTCTTAAAAGTATGCCAGTAATAAAACTTCCTTAAATGGCTGAAATGCTTTGTGAGTATTGTGCTTGTGTTGTGTGCGTGAGTCAGTACACGGATCAGGAGGGCGTTACAGAGTTCGCTGTCAGTTCAGTGACAGCCAGGGGTTTAAAATAACACAGAATTTGGCTTTCTTCACTGCCCGAAGTGGCACGTCCAGTTTTCCATCCAAGGCCCCCAAGCCCTTCTCTGCGGGGCTGCTCTCCAGCCCCTCGTGGCCCAGCCCGTGTCCGTGCTTGGGGTTGCCCTGACCCGCCTCCCCAGCCCGCCCCGTCGCCAGGCAAAGGTGTTGAAGGGCGCCGCTTCCCATAGCGACACCCGAGGAACATTGCTCGTCACGGGGCTCCTCTCGGACACCGACTCGCTGACCCCAGCGCTTTGTGACCGTCCAGCCAATTCCTTTGGTTCTACATTCCTTTTCAGATATGTTTCACATGTGAAATTGCCAGGTTTTAGAAAGAAATATCCCATTATAGAATAAGTAAAAGTTGCTGATAGCCACTGAAAGGCAGTAAGAGAAAGAAATAGTGGTAGATTGTGTGGTTTTGATGGTGCAGGTGCAAATTTCTTAAAGTGAAATTTAATGGCTGTAAATTGCAAATGTTTTTGTGGTTTTTTTTCCTTTAAGCAGGCTAATTCTTATGTTTGTTCTTACCTTAACTGGGAGAATAGCCTGTCTTGAATTTGCAGTCCTTATGGCTGTATCTTGAAAAACTACTATATGATATTAAGGACAAAAAGAATTTGGAGAATTAAGGGCGTATTACTTAAAGGAGGAAAAGTTATTTTCTTTTTCAGCCATAGACCTGCAAAATCAAAAGCAGTTCACTACTCATATTTCTACAGTAAAAATGTGAAGAAAAATATTACATGTTTTTGTAAAAAACCTTACTTCTCGAGTGGGAAAACAAAGGCGTGAAGACTTCTTTTTATCGAACATGGACACGAGGGTAGTGATTGATGTCCCCTGGAGCAGGCTCTGGATTCCAGCAGAGCGTACTTCCGGTGGAAGTTCAGCCCAGAGGTGACTGAGTGCGTAGGAGGATTGGGGCGGATGGACATCCTAAGTCAGAAACGTTAGATGCAGTACACGGGGACCTAAATTGTGCCTTTCTGCGTTTCAAAGGAGCAGCTGGGACGGCATGAACACAGACACTTCCTTCCCTGGGGAGTCTGTTAGCACAGTGTGCATCAGGGCTCTGGAGACTGTTGGGTCCCGCGCCCTTGGTGTGAATCACATACCAGAGCTGTGCTCACGTACCTGGTGTAAATGCGTGTTTCCGTTTCCTCTTCCTTTGTTGTGTCCGTTTGTCCTTTGGGTTGTTTTGGTTTTTTTCTTTTTTTTAAGTAGAAGATAAGTAGCTTCGTTAATTCCGCATGTCAGCTGGTGTAACTCAGTGCGTTCACCGGGCAGTCAGGGTAGCTCCACTGATTTATCCCAGCTCAGCATCTGCCCAGGGTTCTTCTGAGCCGTGAACATGAAGATGACACATTTCTCGGGTAGAGCTTTATAAGCATTGGGTGCTAATGACTGCTTTATAAAGATCAGTGAATATAATTTACATATGCAAGCTGAATACTTAATATGGAATTACAAGAAATTCTATAGCCTGGGAGAGAAGTTAAGGCCATTTGCCTGGGGTGTGGTGTGCATGCAAGTCTCAGTGGGGGCATCGAGATGCACCATTCTAGGCTTATCACCCAAAGGGGAAAATTCAGCGCCCTGTACCCAAGTAGAATATCGTAACAAGAAAGGATTCTGGCTGGTTGTTGGCATGCATGGTGAGCTGCCATCTTCATGAAAGGGGCTCGGGTTGTTCTTCACACCCATGCGGTGTGGAGTGCTGTGCCCACGGTCGGTTTTCTGTTTGTTTTGTGTGGTTGTGATTATGTGCTAAAACTTTGACCTAAGTGAATTGTAGCTAGTGTTCACAAACTGAAGCCTTGCAGTGTCCCTGCGAAGTTTGGACGGAGGAGGTTTCCTTCCCCAGCTGAAATCGAGTGTGTTTCTTCCAGTACGAATCAACAGGGCTGGGCCTGAGCAGCAGCCGACTGCGCACCACGCTGAGCCGGATCCAGGAGAGTCTGATTGATCTGGTGAGTACCTGGATCTTGTAAGATGTAGGAACTATATTTTGTCTTGGCTTTCTGATCTTTGTTGCTCTTCATCTTCAGTGTCCCTAGTGACAAAGGTTAGTTTCACGGTGTATCACGGTGTAGATTTCATGTGAAATCACTTGTTTCTAATGTACAGCAAAACTAGTTCAATAGCTTTTGCTCGATGTAACAACAAAACAATGTATTTAAATCTTAAAACGTATTATGGTTCATGTAGACATTCCACTACTATCCTTATTTAATAAGACATTTTATTAAAAAAACCTCACCAACCCCACAACACAATAGATGACTATTTTTTCAGTAAAAGAATAGGAAACCAAGAGCCACCCTGAAGATCATTCACCTTCAAGATAATACAAGTAGCGTACCAAGTACCTCATTAAGTAATTTCTGAATCATGGGGAACTGTCCTTGATGTTATTTTATAATTTATATCCCATTGGTCACTTCAGGTGTTATTTTCCAATTGTGAAAAGTAAATATGATTCTCGTGTCACGCTGATAGGAGATTTCGGCCCTTCACATCGCATTACAAAGGGTGAACAGGAGACTTCGGTAGATTTTGTGGATTCAGATAAGCAGCAGAGTTTATAAAGAAATATTGCTAAGAACTAGGCAAAAAAGGAAATTTGAAGCTCTTTTTTTTTTAACCAAAATATAAAACCCTTGAAACATCAGGAAGAATTTTCCAAGGAGTGTCATAAATGGCTTATATAGTGATTAATACCATGGGTGGTGGAGGAAAGATTTCCTTTCTAAAGCTTCTGTCTTAGAAAGAAGTAGAAGACACGTGCTGTACTCTTTCACAAGGATTTGGCACCCCGCAAAATTGTACTTTGTGCCTTTTTAGTTCCTTGAAATACTGCATCAAATCTTAAACTGTTCTTTCAGAGAAGCTTCTTAAAGTGCTCTGGGGCCATTTCTGATCGCGTCAGTAGAGGGAGCATGAGATAACTAATAACCCCAAGGCTCTCTGAAGTGAAAAGGGCCACTCATATTGTTCATCTCAAAGGCAGCGTATTCAGAAAGAAAAATTAATTCTAGGAAGATGTTGCAAATGAATCAGTTCAAGATCATAAAAAAGTGGTGAGTTATTGAAGAAATTCTTTAAACTTACTCTGTAGTGACAGTTCCAGACAGCCTTGATTTTTTTTTTTTTTATTAGACAAAATAATTTAAAAAATAATTTCTAGGAGTAAATTGGAAAAATATCACCTTTTCTTTTTCTTCCTCAGTGATTTAACAGTGCTGTTACAGATAATGTTAGTGTCTATTGAAATTAATAGCTATGTTTCAGGTAAGATTTGAAAGGAGAAAGAACTCTTAGCTAACTGCTGTTAACTTGGTTGTGGGCTGTGGGTTTGTTTTCTTCATCATGTGCAAACGTTTCAAAGCTTCCAATTTTTTTGTTTTGGGTTGTGCGTTGGTTTTTGTTTTTGAGGATGACATCAAGTGAAAAAGAAGGCAGATAAAGAATGGATTTTGATAGTTAACCGGTGGCATCTTTGGCCAGTTAATATTTTTAAAGAACTGACCGTTACGCTTGGATCTTTAGCTGTCGTTGCCTGTCTGCGTTACACTTGTGGACGTGCGGGGTGGGCATCTTCAGAGCTGCCTGAAAGAAGTGACATGAGTGTTAGCAAATATCCGGGTGCTTTGGCTTGCTCATCCGTTCTGGTAGACTCAGCAGAATGAAACTTCATGGTACTGTGAAATGTCTGACCGGTTTAATTGCAAATCTGTCTGGCTGTGTGTGAACACAGATCAGAGCAAGGCAAATTCAGTTTTCCAATAGCACGGTGCTGTGGCTGGCCTTTGTCATCGTTCCCGTGCTCACTGCGACTGTGCCTGATAGCATTTACCACAAACTGCTGCTGAAAGTTTTCTGTTCTGCTCATTGATCTCTTTCTGTGAGATCTTTTAGCGCTACAAATGGAGTGCTGGTGGTATTGCTCGGTCAGCAGTATTTAATGTCACGATTTCTGTGGGGTTCCTTCAAGGTTCCCTGCTTTATCCACTTCCTGCTTCTGGAACCTTTTACTAAGATTTTTTTCAGAGGTGTGAAGGTAAATTCTTCACCCATGATAGTGAGAACTCTGCCTTCCCCGTCTGCACTTTGTTCCATCTGCTGTAGCGTGGTTTTGTGTTTGTGTTTGCTGTGTACAGGAGGCACAGAACTACAAGAGCCTCCCTGATTTAGCACATCCACCTCCTCATTGCCTTGGGATGTCACCCCACAGAGCAGGCAACTGTCAACTAAAATCCGAGATAGCAGAAGTGGAATGTGTGGTCTTTTTGTTCCTCCACACCTCAAACCACTTTTAACAGCTTGGACGCTATTATCTTCCCAGTTTTCCTGCATTCTTAATTTCACTTTTGGCTTGGCTTTCATCCAGGCAGTAAACACATTCTGGTGCTGCTTTGTCTGTAGCAGCGGAGTTTTGATCTTTCTGCTCATTCTGTATCACTGAAGTTCTCACCAAGTTCTTGCACATTGTGGCACAACCAATTTTCACCTTCCATGCCTTTAGTTGCTGCTGTGCAACCGCAAATGAGTCGTGCAGGTATTTTGCCGCCAGAATAACCTCCCAGTTGTTTTTCCCCTTTTTACCTGATCATCTCTGCAGTACCTTTTCTCGTGGCTTTTCCAAATCCTTGTCTCAGTCGTGATGTTTAGGGTAAGTTAATTCCATCAATGTTTCTCGTGCTTGTCACTCTCCTTTTTAGGCAAAACTGTCTGGGAAACACATGCACAGCAACGGTTGTTTCGTGTCACTCCTCACAGTATTTCTCTGCTGTGCGCCTGGACAAAACTCCTGGTGACTGTTGTGGTCAGCTTGAGTTTATTTTTTTTCCTCCTACTCCTGATTCTTTAGTTACTTCACTGCAATCTCCCCTTGAATTCTTTCTGTCTTCAATTGGGGAAAAAAACCCACACAGCATGAACTGCAAAGCTGCTTCATTTATTATCATGAGTTTGGCTTCATCTTTGCCGAGTTTTGCAGCAATCTGAGAATTATGCTGATTTGTTTTTTGAATTCAACTGTATATGGTGTGTTTGAGCATTATTGTTGTATTGGTTGTGTGTTCATATGCTGCTGTACAGCAGACGTGCTGTGCAGCCGGTCTTGCTTTTTAAGCAGTTGATTTTACTATTTTGTCACTATATTATTGCCCAAATTTATTTTCTCTCCATACAAACAGGCCGATATCTGCAGGATGAAATTGTCATGGAATGATAACTTGTTTACAGACATGATGTGTATTTCACTTAAGTTAGCCGCAGCTCACATAAGCAGCAAAGCCCGTGCATAAGTGATGCTTCTTGGATTTGTGTCTTTATTTGGTTGCTGTCAGGCTGAAGGTGCCATCTCCAAGGGTGACAAGTCAGTCTCCCAGTCGAGAGTTGAGCTAAAGCCTGCACAGGCATTAAGGTATAGGAGGAAGTTTGTTCCCTAACAGTTTTCTCCCCGCGAGATAGATATTGATTGACATGATGTATATATTTTTTTTTTCACCTGTTTGAACACCACGCTGTTCAGATAGAAAAGTCTATGGCTGTCTTGGGATTCTGGCTTGATTTAAATGACACCTTACAATTAGAAATGTTCCTTCACCGTACCTGGCATCTGCCGCTGTGCAGCCGGAGCCCCTCGTGCTGGTTTTGTGGGTGTTCAGTTGTCACATTCTTTGTTTTAGGAGGTCTCTGCTGATCCCACAGGAAGTCTCACAGCTGCTGAAGAGAGAAAGGAGAAGGTGCCAAGCCCGCATCTCAGTCATCTCGTTGTTTTGACGTCTGGCAATTCGCTGTACGGTTTGGCAGAGAGAGTGGTGGCCACGGAATCCCTGTAGGTTATTTACCGTACACTGCTTGGTGTAGTCACTGGAAGCCACGGGTTATTTAAGAGATTGTGATGGCAAGCCAAAACCTTCTTCAGAGGTCAAGAGTTCTTCCTCTCAATGTGTGTTTTAAATGCAAATGGTAATTTCTTGATTAAAGGTAGTGGGGCCTAACCATCTGGTCTGACCACCTGCAAGCACAAGTAAGGGAATTTTACTGCAGCTGGTCCAGTAACTTGCAACAGTACCAGGAAAAAAGTCTAACTTTAAAGAGTAGTGGGAGTATTTAATCTGTATGGTTCATTTAAACCTTACATTAAGTACTCAGATGGTGATGGCTGAGACTCAAAACTGCTTAGTTTTTGATTTGGCTTGAATTGCCGTGTGCTTTGCAATGGGAGGCAGCGTACCTGTGAAGAAGAGATTATAATGAGCAAACAGTGCAACACTGACCAAGGGGTTTCTGTGTGGTGGGAACAACAGTAAGAGTCAGATAGGATTTATTTCTTTTTCCCCCACATAGGATGACAAAGATTGGAAGTTAATTTTTCAATATATTTCCAAAGGAGCTTATTTTCTCTTGCATTCATTTATGCTTAGTTAGAAATGTATTTCTTTGTGATGTTATTAACAAATCCTACCCTTGAGAAATAATTTCATCTCATGTTTTTGAGATCTTTTACTAGTACATAAGTAATTAGGAATGTTATTTGGAATACTGACATGTCGACTGCCTTGCTGTATGCAGGGTGCTTGTCTGCCGACTTTGCTAGACTTTGGATCAGACTCCTGCAGTGTTTCCCGAGTAAAATATGAATTGTTGGTATTCAAGCCATAGTTTCTTTGTTAAAGCATTTTCTTGTTTGCAAACATATTTCAAAATTGTCAGAACTGGCAATAGTTGTTAATATGCTGGCATGAAACTGATACAGTTCATGTCAGGACTAAACTTTCTGAGGTTTCATATCATTGTTGGTACGTATGCCAGCTGTAGAGTGAGAGTTGTACAACGAGGGGTGCCGGATGTTGCATGTGCTTCACAGTAACTCTTCTTTGCTTTCCAAGGGTGTTTCTAGCTGAGCAGTTTGAGTTTCTTCAGCCTCATCTTGATGCAGTGATGCCAGCTGCCAAGAAGCCTTTTCTTCAGCAGTTCTATTCTCAGGTCAGAATTGTGTAATTCACAGCTGATTTTTAAACAGAAAATTTGAAACTTGCACAGTATGCTGCAAATATTTGTCCATCATAGTTATCTGTTGCTCTTAGTAGCCAGAAATATACTGAACTGGGTTTTATTTATATTCTGTTTCAGACAGTGTCGACTGCCAGTGAACTACGTAAACCAGTTTATTGGATTGTTGCTGCTAAAGCCATTGACTATGAACAAATGCTGCTTCTCATGACTAATGTGAAATGGGATGTGAAGGAAATCATGTCACAACACAATGTATATGTAGATGCTCTTTTAAAGGTGAATATGGGAAACAACGTGCTAGAGTTTATATAAACATGAAATTGCTGCAATTCATGTAAAACTGTTAAAAGCAGGGCAATACGGCGTCCTGACAAATGCTAAGTTATAAGGAGATCTGTCCAGCATTTTCATTATTATTGCTGCTAGCCAGTTGTTTTCAGGTGGATGAATAAGACCATGAAAGTTTAATGAGTTTCATGCCTAAGTCTTGAATGGTAAATAGGTGTGTAGTAAACAAAGTAACATTGAGGAAAGTCCAGTGGCCTGAGATAGCTTGCCTTTTTAAATTTTTTTTAACAACGGCTGTTTGCTGTTTTGCATCATTTTAGCAGTTGTGATGTGCATCATAGGGCCTATAGCACCAATAACAATCACACACTAACTGAAGCTGCTGCATTTCGAAGTTACCACCTGAAAAAGAAGATACAGTTGCTGTCTTACAGCATACAGAACCAGTTCTTGGGAGAATTCTTTTCTCATCCTTTCATAAAATGACGTTTTTAAAGATCTTTAGTTCTGGCAACGGTAGAGTTAGACTAATTCTTACAGAGAAGCTGAAAATTTTATTTTAAAGATATGTGAATTATGTATCCCAGAAAATATGACACATCTGTGTTGAATAGCAGTTTTGATTACACATTTGTGCTTCTAGCTGTTCTCTGCTTAAAAAAAATCAGTATGAGAAGGGGAGAATCTGATAGAGGATATATCATTGCACCAGATTTGGCTGAATCTTTGTGATTCCCCTTCTTTGTGCTGTCACAGAGTTTTGAAATCAATTTGTCCTTGCAACATTTTGGTATCTGCAGTAGAACTTTTTCCTTCTGTGAGTGTGCAGCTGCTGATGAATTTGCTTCAGGACAATCAGGACTAAGACCATTTAAAACCATTTCGGTGTCTACGTTATATAGCTAATAATGATTGCTTCAGAAGCTTTTAGATTACTGCTGAGCAATTAGTGATTTGCTGCGTGCCCTCTGACCTCAGGAGCGTCAGATGTGCTTACGCACGGTGTCTGGTGTAGTAACCAACTCTTTTTAGCCGTGTGCGCACCTGTGCGAAGTCCTGGACTGTGAGTATGTATGGAAGCAGATGAAATGGGGAAATAGGATTGTTCAAGAAATTAGTATCTTCATCTTCTTCAGCAGACCAAGTTGCCTGCTGGTTAAAGCGTGACGTTGTGGTACCCTGCTTACTCTTGCCAAATTCCACTTCCAGAAAATTACTGAGATTTCCTTCTGATTTTCCTCTCCTTACTGAATTTTTATGAGGTTCAAAAATGGGAAAGGAGGGGGGAAAAAAAAGAGGAGGAAAAAGCTACCTCGATGAACAGCCTTGGAATGAAAGCACTTGGTTGGACAAGTATGGTCGTAATAGGCTGCAGCACACACTGCTTTGGCTGGTTACACGGGGCAGGTCATTATCAGTCTGCTTTTCTATTTAACCATTTGGCGCTTTTTTAAAATGATAGAGGTGTTAGTCACTGGCAGCAGAGTTCTGTTTCACTTTATGTAACGCGTGTAATCATTGTAGCAGTAATTGTGTTCAGGTACGACCAGCTTGTCGCTCACAGCTCCAGTCCATCCCGGCCCTTGGTGCTGCAGTGGAAAGAGGCGCCTGCTCCCAGCCCGAGCTGTCTCCTGGCGCTGCAGTGAGCCCCTGCACTCTCAGGTCACTCTCAGTTCCTTTTAAAGCACTGGGGAACTGCCAGTGCAAAAGGCTGAAGAAGGAGGAGTGGTTGCAGAGTTTTTTTAACTCCTTTGAAAGCTGGTGGGATGGGTATTTAAAGGGATCAAGAGGTCATCTGGATTTTCTTCACTGGCTGTACATTGACTTTCATTAAAGTGAAAGATGAATTTAGGGAGTAAGGTAATGAAAACAGCGTTTGAAGGATTAGCTACTTTTTTTTTTTTTTTCAGAGGTGTCAGCTTCACAGAGAACTACACCTCTGGGGAACAGAGCAGTACTTCCTTTTTAAAAAAAGTACTGAGGTAGTGTTGTGAATGATAGAAAGTGGTTACACATTGAGCTCATCTCTACAATCTGCCTATTAAGCTTCTCTACTCTTACTTTTCAGCGTTCTTTTCGCGCACACGTCTAATTCTTTGTTATAGTTGCTAGGGTTGTATAGAGTAGTGATCCCTTTTTTGCTGAAGGAATTATGGTCTGTTGTGTTTCATCAGGAATTTGAGGAGTTTAACAGAAGGCTGAATGAGGTGTCTAAGAGAGTCCGTATTCCACTGCCCGTCTCCAACATCCTTTGGGAGCACTGCATACGCTTGGCCAACAGAACTCTCGTGGAAGGGTACGTACTCTGTGAAAGTCTTTCTTTTGGGTAAATATATCTCTCACGATAATGTCTGTTTTATGGAACAAACGTTCCACTTTTGTAGTGCAGTGGTGGGCTTTTGGGGAGGCTGAAAAATACCAAGGGCTCGCATGGTTCTTAGCAGTTGTTTTGCAGAGTCTGGTACCGTGCTGAGCCTGTACCTCGGTACTGCCCAGGAGTGAAACTGGCTGTTTCACTGAAGCGTTCAAGGCAACAGAGGTCTCTTTCAAAGAAACTTGTAGCTGAAAATTATCATTTCCCAACCGATCAACAAAGAAAGTGTAATTGTCAGCATCTCTGTGGTGATACTGTTTGTCTGTGCCAGTGAGAAGGATGGAGTCATCAGCCCTGGCAGTTAAAGTAGCCGTGGAGCTGAGAGGATAAGAGGAGTTCTTGTCTTTAAACTCAAGACCATAATTATGCTCCTTCTCGAGATTTGAAGGACTAAGTTAAGCAACTTTGAGAAGTTTGATTTTCTTTTATTTCCTACTAATTTTTACTTTCTGCTGTTTCCATTTTCAGTTATGCCAATGTAAAGAAGTGCAGCAATGAGGGACGTGCCTTGATGCAACTGGACTTTCAACAATTCTTAATGAAACTAGAAAAGTTAACAGACATTAGGCCTATTCCAGATAAAGAATTTGTGGAGACCTACATCAAAGCATACTACCTAACAGAAAACGACATGGAGCGCTGGATAAAAGAACACAGGGTAAGGGTTAGGTTTGCATTCTTTTACTGCCTGGTGGGGAAATTCACCATGATGATAGAATCGTGGGAAAACCTCAACATGATCAATGCTTCCATGTGTTAAAAAAGAGCACAGGCACATATACCTATATATTCATTTGTTATAAGAAAATGTGGATGGGAAGCAGGATGAGAGTAAATGTGATCCTTTTAAAATGGAGTGCTTTGAAATCTTTATTTTGGGGTTACTTTAAATCCTGCTAGAAAGAAATACATCTTTAATATCGTTTTGCTTGTTTTACCTGGAGCCCCCAGAGAGATTGTGAGCTGTTGTTTGGTGGCCTAAGTGGAAAAACTCTTGTTTAAACCCGCTGGTGGAAGATATATTTTGGGTAATGATAAAAAGATAGTACTGGCAAATGGGGTGTTTTGACAGGTGTTAAGAATTCTTGTCTTAACGTTTTTGCCATTTTTTTCTCCTTTATCATGTACTGAAATTAATATTGTTTGCAGTCAAGAAGCATTTAGAAGCTCATTGACAAAGAGAAGTCAAACTATCATCAACTTTTGTCACAGCTCGTTTGGAAAAATGTTTTTGTGTCAACAGCTTATCCCATTCGCATTTATGTTTCCTACCACACCTCCCAAAGAATGGAAAATACATCAAAAAATGACATACATGCATATTCACAGCATCACTTTCTGTGAACTCAGTCCAACGCCACTAGTCATAAGCATTTTCTACTATCTGCCATGCAGCAAAATAGTTTTGTTCTCTTAACTACGAAAACTGTGCAGACCTGACTTCACAGCCACGTCAGCTCTCTGTTGTGTACTGACCGCTTCCATCAGCTGGAAAGTCCACAGCCTGTATGTCTGCATTTTTTAATTTTCTGTCTTTTTCTGGTGTTTTATTCTGATAAATCTGCTTTTATGTGCCAGGAATATTCCACTAAGCAGCTGACCAATCTGGTGAATGTTTGTCTGGGCTCCCACATCAACAAAAAGGCGCGGCAGAGGCTGCTGGCTGCTATTGACGACACAGACAGGCCCAAAAGATAACTGGAGAAAGCGACTTTCCTCCCGGCTCGGACCTTCTCTGTTCCTGTGAAGCATGCAGACAAGTCTCTCATGGACTAGCGACAGCGTTCTCTTAAAACACATTGTGCATGACCTTTCTTACCAGCATTGGAAATGCTCTCAAGTGGCATAATGCTCTAAAATATGACTTTTCTAATCTGTAGGGTTCTTTACTGTTGTATTCCTTTTTTTTTTTCTCTTACTTGCCCTTAGTGAAGGGCCACTGTTTGTGTATCATTGGTGAACTGTATATTTTGCAAAACTGTATACTGTAAGTAAAATCAAAATCCGAGAGAAACACACTGGCTTAATATATAATTGTTGCTCTTTTTTAATAGAAGGGCCACTTGCAAATATGATTTCTTTCCTCCCTGCTTTCACCCTCAGAAATTGTACTTTATTATGGACCAGTGTAAAATGAAAGGAAATGTACAGTATTGGATTGATGTGTCTTGCATGTGGAGTGAGTGCAGATTAACTAAATACTCTTAGGATAAAGCCTCTCATCTTCATATGTATTTAAAAACCTGTTTCAGAATTAGTCATATCAAAGTTACTGGCTTCAGATTACTTCAGGTAATAAATACTGTACACTAATATGACTCCTTTGTGAGGCCATTTTCCTAATTCAACAATGCAAAATGTCATTTACAACATAAATTATTGCTATTCTTTTCACATCGCTTCCCTTTTGTGTATTCCCCAGCCTTCCCTGCTCTGAAGCCATAACGCCAGGGAGCAGGAGTACTGTTCTTTTGGCTGAAGTTTTGGAGGGACGCTGGGATAATCTTACTATTTCCTGCTCTGCTGCAGACAACCCCGAGTGATCCCGAGCAGAACAAAATTGCTTGGATGAGTGTTTGCCCTAGAAATCGATTTGTCAGAGCATTGCTGGCTCCACTGAAGTTTTCAGGTTTGCCTTTGGTTTCAGGTGTATAAAGCTTTAGATATTTTTTTTAATTACATAATACACTTTTTGCAGTGCTTTCAGACCTTTATAAAAGGAAGCAAGGTCCCTTCTAGCCAGAAGCATCCTATAATGTACACAAAGTACATTCCACTAATGTGTACAATCCACTAATTTGTACAATGTGGTAAATTCTCCGTTCCAGGTTCATACTCACCATCGTACTTGGGATTCAGACATGGGAGGATCAGGATTCCTGAGCGACAGCGGTACGTCAGGACAGCACGTCACCCTGTGGAATCACTCCAAGTGCACTCTTTTGGTAGCTTCATTTCCTCTTCACAGCATCATAGTGCGTGTTCCGTGACGGCCTGTGCACGGTTTTAGAAGAATTACAGAGTGTACGTTTTAAATATTGACTGTGTAGTACTGGGCTCCCTTGTCCGTCTGTGTTTTAAAGGAAGTAAGGACGAGAAAATGCTCTATTGACCGTGCTGCCACACTGAGTCTTGTTTACAACTTGTTTAGCACCGTGCCAGTGTGGGTGTTGAAGCTGAATGGCTTTTACCCTCGTTAAAAAGATGGTTCGGAAAAAGGGAAATGCAGCTCGTTTTGAAAGTGTGGACGTTTGCGTCAGCGCTTCTGCCCTGAAGTCAGGTCCTGAGCGGGAGCTCTTTTTAAAAATAGAAACGCGTCAGAGACAATTAGTGTAAAATCTGATTCAATTTTCTTCTTGTGGATGAAGGAAGAAATGTGAAATCTTTACCAGAGCTTTCGTGAGCTGATGGCGTGATTAATGTCTTATGAACTGGTGAGGTCACTGTGTTTTGATTGCTTGCCAAAAGGTAGGAGAGTGAGCACTGCTGGGAATCTGGGGACAAGGAGGGAGGTGAGCAGTTGCATCAGTCACAGTCAGGAGTGATTTTTTTGTAGTGTATTTATGGTCTGACTCGTAAATCTTCAGTAAGCTTCTAATCAAAAGAATGTGTAAGATGCAGCGTTAAACCTGCGCAACAGCTGCTTCATCTTCATTAATGCATGCCTCAGAATTTGTTATATTTTCCAGAGGAACCTCCCCTTGCTGCCCAGGATTGATGTGAAGGGAGAGGCTACCTACCTTCATGGCCCGTGTAAGATCTTAGGTACACGATTTGACTCTTGGGTTACCCTCTGCCTGGTCAGGAGTTGGACCCGGTGATCCTCATGGGTTCCTTCCAACACCGGATATTCTGTATTACTTGGTCCTCAGTGACTAATGAAGCCAAGTTTTGGCTGAATGTTGAATTACTGACTTACTAAGGGTCTCTTTGGTAGTTTTCATCCTCTGGTATGAGAATTCTTTACAAACCATTGACTTTTTTAGCACCTCTGTACATCTTCTCCTATGGACTAAGAAGCCCTTTACACTGCATTTTCTGCAGTAGTGAATATGGCTTAAATATAATTTCTGTTGTAAAGGAGTGATTTGGAATAATCTAATAATAGAATAATGATGCCTTCAGTCTCCAGGGAAAACAACCAGCACCACAGAGGTGGGAAAGGCATTTGTCAGTCCGTCTGTAGCCTAAGGAAGCATTTAAATCCTGTTCCCCGGCCAGTGAGCACTCTGGTATTTGCCAAGCTGCCCTGGAGCACAGGTGACCAGTTCCCCAGCCTGTGGCTGGGCAAAGCCTGCCCCAGCCCTGCCCAGCGCGCAGCGGGCTCTTCGGCACTCGGCTTCTCGCCGTTGTACCTAATGCTGATGCTTTTCTGCAAAGGAGCACCTACGGGGACACAAACGGAGGAAAGCCAGCTGGAGCGGTTGCTGTGACCCAGGTGCAAGATTCAAGTCCTTGCTTTGGTGTAGGTTTAATTGTTCAAAGCACAATGACCTTGTTGGGAAAGACCGTCTTGGAGGGGTAGTGCTTCAACAGATGAGCTGCTCAGAGCAGCGCCCAGAGGTGTTAATTCGAGTGCCTGCTCTGGGAAGGCACTTGATTGCTCCACGATTTCAGATTTCCAGGTAACTGACTGCATGGGGTTCACGGCTCCTGCACAGAAGAAAGTCTTCCCAGCTGTGAAATAAAGGCTTGGTTTGCTTCTGATCTGCAGTGGGGGAAGCGAAGCCCTGGCCAGATGGGCTTAGCAAACCCTGAGCGCGGGGTGCAGGTTACAGCTTGTGAGCGCCGCTGGGCGAACAGCCTGCCCTCTTTTGTGCCTTCCCCCGCAGGGAGAAAAAGGGACGAGTGAGCAACGGCTGTCCAAAGCTGCCTCTGATTTCAGATTTCAGATGCGAATGACAAAGGCCTTTTGCGATACCGAATGCTACGCTGGGGATGCGAGCGTGTGAGTTGTGCACTTGACTCGTCCTCGTGCCACAGAACACAACATTACAAAGATCCCCTCGTCTTACCGTGAATGTGATGTATTTGGGGTCTTTCCCCTTTAAGCTCTTGGGTATGGTTAATGTTTATGAAATCTGTGCAAGCTGTGCTTTGGTAACTCAAACCTTGACTAAAGCCCATGTTTATAAAAAAAAAGCAAACAAGGAACCCCTCAAAACCACATGAGAACACTCCAATTAAGTTGATAAATAGTGCTGTCTCTTGCCAAAGTCCTCCAAAGGCCAAATGTCAGCAGGCACCTGCTATATTTTAAGTGATGCAAAGAGAGGTGGACAAAAAAATGCAGATTTATTGTGTGTGAGTGATGGTACCTCTTTCACTTATAACCACTCCTTGACACAGCGTAGCATGAGGACTGAACACTGCATCAGACGCTAGGGCTGTGGTGCGACACCTGGAAGTAACGGCACCATTTACCTGCTTGCAAACAGCACCGTTTCCTGCCTGCTGGCTATTTAAGGGTATTTGTGAGTGTGTTTCTGCAGCTCCAGAGCTGGTTTTCATCATAACAGGGACTTGGACCTCAGGAACTGCCGTTGCCTGGTGCGGTTATTCACACAGCACTAAGCACCTGGGAGTTTTCAGGACCGTTTATTTCTCAAAGTGTAGGAAAATGTTGATGTAAATGAGTTTGACCAGGGGCCGCTTCCTGGCCCTGAGCTGCCAACATCTGTCTCCTCCAGAGCAGATGGATTATTGAAGCAGCCGAGTTCTCCAAGCCGCCGAGCGTTCGTGGGTGGTTTATCATATGCTACATTTCAGCTAGACACAATCGCTGCTGAGAATAGTAATGCCTCGCAGCTGCAACACCCCGAGGCCTCCCTCCCGCCTCGCACCTGCAGCCCAGCCTTGTGCTGGTGTCTCTGCTTCTGGACAGGGCGGTTCCTTCCCAGAGCATGCCGAGCCTTTGCGCTGAGGGATGTGTTTGTCGTGAGATATTTACTGGTGCTTTCTGCTGACTGGTGGCTGCCCTGCTTGTCCTGCGAGGGAAGGAGCTCCCCATGGATGGCACGTTGGGTAACACTTCAGAGATGCTGCGCACCTCAACAGTCAGGTCACAAACCTGTCCCAAGCTTTGATTTAGGATCTACTCTGCCTTGGTGCCTGGTTTATTTTCCTACACTTTAGTCCCCTGGCTATAAAAGATATGATGTTATGTAGCCTGCTTTACGAAGTGCTATCAGGCCATGGTTCTGCAGGCGTGAGCTGCATTTTTAGCTGCCTTCAGTGACTTAACCCCAGGGAAGCTGAAGCATGAACTCCTTGCGGAGAAGAAGGCACGTAAGGAAACTTCCTTTGCTGTGTCTCAGGCTTTTCACGTGCTGTTTCCTTTGCCTTAGGAGAGAATATCTTCTTAAATATCTTCTTAAATATCTTCTTAAATGCTGCACTTCAAACCGCACAAGGCAGTGCCGTTGCCTGTGTAGCAAGGGACCCTGCTATGGGCCAGAAAACATGGGCTGAGCTATGGATGGGGCTCATCTCAGCTGTACCCGTGCATTGCAATAACCCGCTACTGCCAAAAATAATAACCAGGTGGATTAGACTATTGTCAAAATTAAAGTGAGATATATCTGAAAGGATAGTAAAAATCCATGCACACATCTGTCCTGATGGCTGTTCTTCTGTACACCATCAGCAAAAGCTCCAGGCCTCCGTGTGACTGATGAGAACAGCCGGCTACTGGGGAGACAAGTGCCCTGGAGACACGGTCATCTTTACTGTGATGTTCGACTTGATCTCTAGGTAATGAAAAAGCATTCGGTGGAGATAAGGCATTTTTCACTTATGGCTCAAGCCTTTATCATCCTCTTCTGTTTAAGAGGGCTTTGTTGTGCCAGTTCCTCCCTTCCTGTTGCTGTGTTTTCCTCCCCGTGCATTCAGACACCTGGATTCACACAGGGACCTTTTCCAGATGAGGTAGGTTGGGGGAAAGTCTACTCTGAGGACTCAGGACAGGGCTGCTGGCAAAACTCGCTGGGGAGAGGGGCCAAGGCAGAGGCACCAGGCTCTGTGCGGGACATCTCAGCCCGGCCGTAGGTATCTGCTGGCTTTATGAACCCAAGAGTTGCCAGCAGAATGTCTCATCTCGCAGAATAAAGCGAAAGTCTACTCTGAGGACTCAGGACAGGGCTGCTG